GACTTCGCATATGCCTTCTCAGAAACAGCCGATCTGGATCATTTCTGCGGCGACGACTTTGCGCATATCTGGCTGGAGCTAGATGCACCTGTTCCCCGCATCTCCCCTCCGCAAGGCTCTGCAGCAGGCTAAAGCCGCGTCAGCACCAACACCGCCCCAATCGCAACCAGCGCAGCAAGCCTTTGCACCCGTCGCTCCTAGCCCCGCAAATTCCTGGGCAGAACACGCCCCGCCCCGCCTTGATCAATCTGCCGTGCAACGCCTTGTGCAAGCCTTTAAGGACGCCTTTCCCGGCGAACACCTCGACAGCGACGCTATGCCAAGCATCCGTCTGCTCAGCCTTGTCCATCGGTGGTTTCAACCGGGACACACTATCACCTGGATCCCATGGCAGCTCCGCTTGTCTGCAAAGCAGTATGACGAAATCATACAGAGCAAGGCCACCAAGCAAATCCGCACCGAAGCGCATCTCATCAGCACCGCATTTTTCGACGACACGCCCGAAATGGCTGTCGATCACCTTCGCCTCAGCTCCGCCTGGTTGCAACGCGTGCAAACGGTATTTCGCAACGCCATCGCAATATGCAACGGAGCGCACCTGCAGCGCTTGAAGGCGTTTGACAAAAAGGTTCTCGACCTCGCAACGCAAACCGTTGCTCCAGACTTGCATTTACGCACCGTTACCACGCAAGAGCTTCTCGTAGCCGATCGAAAGATCTGGCAAGAGATTGCCGCACTGCACAGCTCCGGGTGGTCCCTGGATGACGCCTTGCATGAAATCACTAGTGTCCGCTCGGACATTAGTTCCCTACTGCAACTTCGTGCCAAGCCCATGCCACCCGCACCGCCCCTCCGCCCCACCAGGGAAGACCGCATCCGCGGTAAAGGCGGCAAAGCAAACGGCAAAGGTGTGCGACAGCCCGGCAAACAGCCTCGCACTCCCAACTCAGGCAACCAGCAAACAGCACCGCTCGCCACCAAACTTGGCGACAAGACTCTTTGCATCCGCTTCAACAAGGGCAATTGCACGAACAAGAACTGCAAGTTTGAACACAAGTGTGCGTTTAAACTGCCCTCCGGCCAGCCTTGCGGCAAAAATCATGCAGCTTGCAACCACAAAGTGGAAAAGCCCAGCCCGTCTTGAGACCCGCAGGAGATCGCATCCGGGAGCAATCTCTTGCCTGCAGCCCGGAACAAGCGCAGCCCTTCGCCTCTCTCGCTCTCCTGCGCATCCTGCTCAGCCTCCCCCTGCACCTCACCTAGTGGTTCTAGGTCCCGCAGCCCCCCTAAGGCCCAGGTTGCTAAGCCGCCCTGCCCTGCCTCGCCTGCCTTAGCTCACAAACCTGCCCAGCCTTCCCCACAGCATAGCAACCCGTCCGCCAGTGATGCCTCCGAGTCCGCTGACAGTGACTCCGGCGGCCTTGCTCCAACCTCAGCTGCCTCCACTTGCAATCCCCCAGCCCGCCATCTACTTTTTTGGCCGCCGGACCTTTTCCAGGATGCCAAGCAAATCAATCAGTCCCTGCACAGATTCGCTTCTCCGCCCGCATTGCAAACCTCAGAAGGTCATTGGCATCCTGACGTCCTAGCTTCCATGCAGGGAGCGGCTTGGTCTGGAACCCTCGCAGTGCTATGCATTCTTGGCGACACCAGTTCCTACTCAGCATCTTTCCACCGCAGTCTCTGTGCCCTGCATCGCGCCGCCCACCTTCAAGGTGCACATGTCATCTTTGCATTCCCTCAGCCTTCTACAGAAGATATTTTTGACATGTACCTGCAACTTGCCCAAGAACTCGCAGCTACGTGCACATGGACGCGCTCGCCTCATCGCAGGCTCCTAGGGGTGAGCTGTTCCCTGCACAGCAAACTGCACTCAGACGGCATCCCGGACCTGAATTCCTTGGCTTCCCTCTGCACCACAGATGTGACGTCACAGCCGCCTTCTGCTCCACTGCCTCTGCACGCTCTGCACAGCCTAGGAGCATCCACTTTCCACTGCAAACGCTCCCCTGTTTGCGATGGTGCGGGCAATGTCAGCTCCGCTGACCACATGCATTGCACCAATAAGCCCAGCACCCCTCTAGCTACGGTTGCGCAATCCATGCTGGAGTATCTGCGTCAAGAACAACTCCTTAAGCCCATCCTTGCTCACCTGCACGCGGGTCTGCCAGAACCGCCCCTCTCGGAACAACATGGTTCCGTGCTCGCAGAAATCATTAGACTTCACCTTGCTCGGCACATGCCTGCAGCTGAAGCTCTGCGTATTGAACCAGGCCAGCCTTTTCGCCTCGAGATCCTTGAGATGCTCGCGCGCGCCATTGACGATCCTGACACAGGCCTCGTCTCAATTCTCAAAGAAGGGGTTCCCACTGGCGCTTTCTCACCGCTCCCGCCCAGCGGCCTCTGGCCTTCAGCTCCGCAAAACATTGATACGTCGTCCGATCTTGACCCGCACCGCCTTGAGCACTGCGCGGGCAATTGGACCGCCGCTGAACGCGACCCCACCTTGCTTCAGCAGCTGGTTGACCAAGAAATTTCTGCTGGACACGTTGCGCCTTTCCACGGCTCCGCAAAAGACGCTGCAAAGCACTGGCCGCTCGGCACCGCTATCGGCAAACTTAATATAGTTCACGCAGACGGCAAAGATCCCCGCCTAGTACTAGATAGTTCTGTGTGTGGGTTAAACTCTTCTGTGCACCTACCGGAGCGTGTATCCATGCCAAGCGCCCTAGATGTGCAACGCACTTTCTTCGCCTCCGATCCTTTTGCTCGTCTGCAAGGCCTCTCTTTAGATTTTAAAGCTGCACATAAGGCACAAAAAGTTCACCCCGCAGAGCAGGGCACACTGCTTTTTCGCATTGCCGACAAGCTTTATCATTACACCGTCTGCCATTTCGGCGCCCGCTTTTCTGCATACTGGTGGCAACGCACAGGATCCCTTATCCTGCGCATCCTGCATTCACTGCTTTGCAAATACCCGCACAAAGCATGGCTATACGTAGACGACGTCCTCGCCGCGCTTCTGCGTGATAAGCTCGACCAGCCGGTCGCCCTCATCGTTGCACTGCTTGCCGCGCTCCACGCACCCATTAGCTGGAAAAAGGCCCAGCTCGGTGATCAAATCACTTGGTGCGGCTGGACCTTTTGCTTCCGCACAGAAACCGTCGCCTTGGTCCAAAGCAAACTGGAAAAACTCCGCCAACAGCTCTGCAAGCTTCGCACTGCCACCAAAATCCTCAAAAAGGATCTGGAAGCGTGCCTCGGACTGCTCAACTGGGCTACTACTCTCAGCCCGCACATGCGCTCCTTCATGTCATGCCTTTATAAAGACTTGCATAGCAGTGCAGGAACCCTCCACAGCATCGCCCCGCAGGCTTGGGCGCCTTTCTACGAGTGCCTTGATAACACCGCCAAGCTTTCTTCCACGCCTCTTGGCTCCTGGCTGCCTCGCAATGCACAGCTTCTTGAGGTTGGATCTATTAAAATATATTCTAAGTCTGACGTGCCCCGCGTGCCGCCTTCCCACAAGCACCAGTGGGTCCGCCTGGCCGACCCTAATCGCACAGAAATTCACCTTAAACAAGACAGCAAATTTTGCCTCGCCTGGTTAGAGCTTTGTTTTAAGCACGAGCAACCGCGTAGCCTCCGCACTCCTCCCGTCGCGCCCTGCATGAGCGCCGCGGATGCTTTCGCCGACACCGACCGCATGGGCATCGGCGGCTGGCTCAGCACTTCATCGCACTTTGTTTGGTACAGCGAGATCTTTACTGCCGACGAAGTCCGAGCCGAGTGGCCCCAACTGCACGGCTCCATGCAAAGCTACATAGCCTGTTTCGAGGCATTGGCACAGCTTGCACTCGCCCATTGCTCATGGGCTCTTCTTCGGCATAAACACACGCGTTTTGTGCTTCCCAGCGCCAGCGACAACACCTCCGCCGAGAGTGGCGTAAACCGCCTGTTTACGACAACAGAACCGCTCAGCACCTTTTTGCGCCTTGCCGCCACCTGGGCGCACCTGCACCGTGTCCAGTTCCAGGTCGAGCACTTGGCCGGCGAAAAGAACACGTGGGCTGACGCCCTCAGCCGCGGACGCCTGGCCTTCATTAAGCACCGCAGTGCCGAACGCGTTCGCATCAGCCTAGCGCAGCTCGCATCTGCTTCGCACACAGTTTCACTTCGAGGGGAGGAGAACACCTTCCCCCCTCGCCTCTGCGAGGCACAGCGCAGCCTACTGCGTTGATTCGCTCACCGTCGTGAACCGGAAAACTCTGCATCAGAGCTTTGCCACCTGCACGCCTCGTGCTCTGGCACGTTTCCTGCTTTCACTCTGTCCGTCCCGACAGGTCTACTTCTACATCCTCATGCGAGGGGGGATTTCTGAGCCCGCGAGGCAGAGGATGCTGAAGTCGAACTAAAGAGGGGGAAAAGAGCTCGGCAACGCACTGCCCCGCTCCTCCTGTTACTGGGCATCGCATTGCCTCGCACCGACTTCAAGCATCCTTCGCGAGTAAAAGAAGAGAGCGCTTCCTCACTCTGTTCTGCATTGCTCAGCAAACTCACAGTATTCTTACTGAGAACACTTGTCGTGAGTTTGTTGTTTTGGTCGACAGTGTTTTCGGTAAGTACTTGAGCTTGCATTGCTTAGCCCTGCGCCGCACTGCTAGCTCAAGCTGTCGACCCGGATCGCTTCCGATTTTAGCTTTTTCACCCACCCTCCTCAACCCGGGGAAAAGAGCTCGGCAACGCACTGCCCCGCTCCTCCTGTTACTGGGCATCGCATTGCCTCGCACCGACTTCAAGCATCCTTCGCGAGTAAAAGAAGAGAGCGCTTCCTCACTCTGTTCTGCATTGCTCAGCAAACTCACAGTATTCTTACTGAGAACGATTACTTGCAGGGATGGCGCACTGCAGACTCGACCGAGGGCTACACCAAGCTCTTTTTCAGCCATGGCAGCATTTGCTCTCAGGCTCTGATCGTTCGTGCCGTGGCTTCGGGTTTTATGCTTTGCTTGCCAGCCGGGGTTTTCACCGAAGAGGAGTTGAGCGGGTTTCAGATCGATGGTTATCCAGGGATTTTCGGCCCCCACTTCGTTACATCAGTGGCTGCTGTTTCGGTGGCGGGTCGCGAGTTCAAGACGGCCGTCTCTTGCCTGCTCATCGACGTGGCCGCCGAGGGCATCGACAGGCTGCAGGTGGATCCTTTTCCCGACCTCGAGCTCAAGGTGTTTGGCACCCAGCGGCTGCAAAGTGTATGGCCTCATCGTCTCCGTGTTGTCGAAGCTTTGGCTGGCTTTCTGGACGGCGAGGCCGCAGACTTGTCCGACCGCTTGGATGCATACTTCACTTGCGGTTCCGACGGCGAAGCGCTCCTTGCTCAAACACCGTTGGCTCCCGTGGCGGCGGAGGTTGCCCAGAACGATGTGCTTCAGCAGCTTTTGATGCACGCTATACCCAGGCCGAGGCCCTTGCGAGTTTCAACGCCAGGCTGCGCACCTTGGAGACGCCAGCGGCAGCGGCACCTGCAGCAACACCAGCTTCGGCTATCGCCGCGGCTCCGGCAGGCGGTGGGGTGCCACAGTGGGCGCCCCAGCTCTTCAGCGAAGGCGCCAAGGCTCAACTTCAGGAGGAGCAGCTTCAGCGACTATTGCAGCTGGCCGGGAAGGGGCCGCAGAGATTGGGCGATTTGGCGGGACCCGCCAATGCAGCTGCGAAGCCGGGGGCTGCCCAGCTTTACCTAGGAGCTGGGGCCAAGGCTGCCCCTGCCCCGCCTCCTGTGGGAGGTGTGGGGCCGTTGGCCGAGGATGTCGAGGAGGACGAAGACGACGAGGTTGCCGCGGGCGAGGGCGGTGCACTGGCGAAGGTCCTCAGCCAGCAGACCAAGCTCCTAGCAGCTCTTGTTGCCAGCACCACCAAGAAGACCTCGGATCCCTTAAGCATTCTCGGCGGCAGCGGTGCAGACGAGGAGACGAAGGTCCCGGGCATTCGCGGCATGGCGGCACGGCAGCTGCTGAAGGATCAAATCCAGAGGGACCCCTTGAAGGTCTATCAGAAAGTGCGCGAGAGATTGGCTCAGGCCAGGCGGAAGAGCAACACGGCTGCTCTAGAACCTCGGGACATGTTCTATCACTTCCAGGATGTTGTCCCCCTCGGCCACTACAAGACCCTCACCTACTTTGCCTTCCTCCTTTGCGACACTTGGGAAGCCATGGAGCAGGGCAGGTCCGAGGAAGTCATGAGCTTGATCAGTCTCGGGCTCGTGTTCGCCGAGCAGGTTGCCAACGAAGGCGGGGCCACTCGTTTGGGGTGGCTTTTGATATTTCGGGACGACCCACCGTTCAGTTTGGTGGAGCAGCGGCGGGCGCCAAGGAGCGAGGTGCCTCATGGGCTCCTGGCCTATCCGAGATGGGTTACAGCCAACCTAGCGTACTTGAAGGATGTGGAGAGCATCCAAGATCGGACAGCCAAGAGCCATCAGCAGCAGCAGCAGCAGACGGGGAGTTCGAGCACCGCAACAACACCTGGCCCAGGAGATCCAAAGGGCGGCCGTGGAGGAAAGCGCGGCCAGAAGGGGAAGGATCCACCAGAGCCGGCGGCGTGAGCCGTCCCTCCTGGTTCCTGCCCGAACTTTTTCCCACAGGCTTGGACGATGTGATCAGCGCTTCTCGACTTTGTATATGCATTTCCAGGAATTTGCTGAGGGCTCGTACTCGCCTGTCTTCTTTTATTTATTCTTCTTTGTCAATTTCGCAACCCGTTTCGGGCGCTGCCTCGCAGAGCCCCGACCTTTGGCCTTGCCAGCTCGCACCACCGTTGGCTGTCCCTAGGACCAAGCTTGGTGGTCCACCCTTGGCGCGGTGGCATCGCCGGCACTATATCAGGCACGTTACTCGCCACATTGTTGCAGCGAATAACTGGCTGGTGTTGGGCAAGCCCGCTTTATCACCCGCAGCCTTGCCGCCTTTGAGCACTTCCCAAACTGCTATGCTTGGCAGGTTGGAGGCAATGGCCTCTACGTGGATCCGCTTGGGGTCCGGCCCCAAACGCGGACTTGATCGGTCCGTTCAGAACTTCGACAGCGTTCATTTGCAGCTCGAAGAATTGCAACACATGAGCGCTCAATTATTCTCTCAGATGCAGCCTTATTCGAAAGCCGGCCGAGGTGGTACAGCAGCTGCCGCTTCTGAGTCGGAAACCGCTTTCCCAGCCAATGTGGCAAAGGCCAAGCTCGCAACGACCAGTAAGCCCATCGAGCCCTCCCGTCTCAACTTTGAGGAGGCCCCTAGGTTTCACGCTGAGAAGTTCCTCACGGACCCACTGTTGCGAGCTGGCTTTAGAGATCCCCGAGTATTTCGCAGGCACGAGAATGAGTGGCCCCGACCTAAGGTTGGCCGAGTACAACCCAGACCCCCGGGAGGATCCAAAAAGTAGATCCCTTAATGGGGGTTCCTATAAAGTACCCTTAGTAGTATAGGGCCCCAAATTAGGGGATCTACTTTCTAGATCCTCCCGGGGGTCTGGGAAGCTCCTTTAGGCAAGCAGCTCTACAAGAAGTGGGACGATGTCGAGTGTTTGCATTTGATACCTGCTGCTTCTTCCGAATATCGGTATCGTTGTGGGCTGTTCAGTGTCTATAAGAGCGACGTCCTCGACAGGCAGATTTTGAACCCCATTCCCGAGAACTCGCGGTCCTACTCTGTCTCGGAGGCAACCTTTACACTCGCTCATTCGAGTTTGCTCTGCGGCATTTACATACCGCCATACCAGAACCTGGTGATCAATTCAGATGACTTCAAAGACTTCTATCATGGGTTCGTTGTAACAGACCAACATGCTGCACGTAACCATCTTCATGGAGTTTTTCGAGGTTCTGATTTTGCAGGATGGCGTTGCTACAATGCTGATTTGCACAATGTTCCAGTCGTGGGGTATTTTAGGACGTTGGCTATGGGTACGAACTATGCAGTGGAAATAGCGCAGCACTCCCATGAGACCCTACTCCGTCGAGCTGGATGTCTAGCTGATCATGAAAGGGTCGCCTATAAGCGCGTCCTCCCTCGCGGCCCCGGGTTCGACCTGTTATGCATAGATGATCACATCTACCTACTTCTGGTGCCGTGCAGTGAAGCCGGGAGGGAGCCGTCGCCGAGTCGAAGGGATGCCCGCCTTTTGCACTCTGCTGCTGCAGCATATATCGCTTCTGGATTGCGAGCCTCCCCAAGGAAGGCTGTGCGTAACTCCTATGCCGACATTGTGTTAGGTGGGCAGCTCGACGGCATCCGTGGTGATATTGCTTCGCCACGGCTTAAAACTGCGACGCTATGTGCCCTCACGATGCAGATGATTGTGTTGGGGCACAGTACTCCTCAGTTGTTGCAATGTATTCTGGGGTCGTGGATCTTTGTTCTGATGTTCAGGCGACCAGCTATGTGCATCATGACTCAGGTTTTTCACGAGGGCACAGGTCGCCGCGAGAATGAGATTTTCAGCCTTTCTGCCGCGGCTCGGCAAGAGCTGTTGCTGCTGGTACTTCTGGCGCCCTGTTTCCAAACCGACCTTAGGGCGAAACCTTTGGGTACATTGTTCTGCACCGATGCATCACCGTTTGCAGCAGGAGTTTGTGCCGCGCGAATTTCAACTTCAGCTTGCTTGGAACTGCTTAGGCATGCCGACCATAGAGGGTTTCGTACAGTGCTACTGCCTAAACTGTCCGCCTACTTGGCTGTTTTTGAAGATTGCGACGACTCCAGTGGTCAGTCATGCAGCATTCCGGGCCAGCTCTCTGAGGGCAACCTTAGTCACGTTGGTCGGCAGTTAGGCCTCCGAGTTCACCCGGGTTTTGATATCGCAGACGGAGCCCACGGAGACATCTTGCAGCAGCAGACCATGCAGCACATTATTGGGTTGATTGCCAGACGCGTTGTTGCCTACATTCACCTAGGGCCTCCATGCACGACTTTTGGCACCATGTTTCGGCCTCGTTTGCGCTCTAAAGCTCAGCCGTGGGGTTTCAATGCAAAGGATCGTGCAACGGATCATGGCAACAGTTGCGCAGCACGCAGTGCTTTCATCCTACATCTTTGCGCTGCTTATGGTCTGCTTTGTTCCTGTGAGCAACCGCGGGGATCTGTGATGTTTCGTCTCAACATCTTTGAAAGACTCAAGGGCCGAGGTTTCGTCGAAGTTGACTTTGCTTCTGCACCTACGGCTCACCGTTCATGCAACCTTCGCGGTGGCTCGCAAACAACCACGAGTTACTCAGGATGCGAGGCGTGTGCTCTTGCCCTTTGAGAAATAAACATTTGCGGCTCGAGTCCACCTTCACGGTCGAGAACATAGCCCGATTCCGAGCACTTTGCAGACCCAGCAGTGTAGACGTTTTCGGTTGAGATCCCAAACCTGGTGAAGCGGTGTGCCGTTTCTCTGGAGCCTGACCGTTGCCTGCACTGAAGCATCTCTTAGAGCTTCAGATTCCAGCGATCAGTGATTTGAAATGTCGCGCAGGCTCATTGAGCAGGCCCCCGCATCAACCTCCTCGCTGGATAGCCGATTTGGGTCATTGCTTGCACTGGCGAACCATCATCCAGTACAGATTTCGGCAGTTAAGCCATATCAACGTCAATGAGCAGCTCAGCTATCGCAGCCTCGTGAAGCACTTAGCAAATACGGAAGCTGGCAGTCGCTTCGGCATCCTTCTTGACAGTCGTGTCGTTATAGGTTGCAATGCAAAAGGAAGATCCTCTAGCGCTACCATGAACCACTACATGTGCAGTTGTCTGCCTTATGTTCTAGGTGGAGGGCTCTATCCTGCGCACTTTCACATCGGCACTCACGATAATGTTGCCGATGATCCTTCCAGATTGAAGGCCTTACGCGAGCCATGTGATGCTCAATCTCTCTGGCTAGAGCGACTGCTGCTTGGCGACTACCGGCACTTCGACCTGGTTCGGCGTGCAGACGACTGTGTCGGTGCTCCGGGCAAGTGGGCCCGATTAGTTATGCTCAAGCTGCTCTGCGACTGGGATGCCAAGGCGCCGCCGGGACTTTCTGGTTGCCCGATCTGAGGTTAATCTGGACGCCACCGGTGGCCTCAGCAACTTGGTGGCTCAACGCCGTGACAAGCTTTTTTGGTGATTTC